CCAGGCAAACTAAATCTATGGATTGTTCTTGAATTACGACCACAATGGAGCTCAAATTTTATGTTACTAAGCGGGACATTTGTTTTGCCCCATTTTATGCCTTTTTGTGACCCTGTTTTGCAACCTTCTGACAAGTGTGCTCTCTCTCTCTCTTCCTCTCTCTTTCTCTCTCACACCAGGTGTGAGAATGTCCTTAGTTCCCAAGAGAAAGTATTTTATTTTGACTACACAACCCCAACTATCCCTAATTGCCCCCCCATCCCTCATCTCCCAAATGGCTCCAGCCTGGCCAGCTTCAGGATTGACACCTGTCTCTTGACACGTTAGTAAAGGACATCTAAAATAGTTCCTTTCCATGGGAGACAAGCTTAAAGTTGTATAACGTTTGCTAACTCAGCTGATATATTCTGGGATAACTCACCATCTTGGGTGGTTGAATCCAACTGTTCCTACACCCAAGGGTTGACTTATCCTTGAACTTGAAATTAAGGTCTGATTATTATTAACTATTAATAATTATTAATTTTATAATTAATTATTAATGCCAAAAGTCGGTCTAGAACTATGATTACTTCTGTAAGGGAGCCCTTGTTTTTTTCCAGAGATAAAAATGGAATTTGGAACCAGTGGTTAAGACATCAAGCTAGAAAACTGGGTGAAGGGATTTCTAGTTCCGCCTTAGGCATAAAAGCCAGTTGGGTCACTTTGAGCCAATCACCAGGAGAAAGGGAATTCTAGTCCTGCTTTTGCATGAAAGCCATCTGGATGACTTTGGGTCAATTATAAAGAGATGAGTTGAGTTCTAGTTCAGGCCTCAGGCATGAAAGCTGACTGGATGAATTTGATCCAATTACCAGGAGACAGGGAATTCTAATTCTGCCTTTGCATAGAAGCCATCTGGGTGACCTTGGGCCAATTAGTGGAGATGGTGAGTTCTAGTCCCACCTTAGGCATGAAAGCTGGGTAGATGACTTTGGGCTAATCACCAGGAGATGGTGAGTTCTAGTTCCACCTTAGGCATGAAAGACAGGTGGGTTACTTAGACTCTCAGCCCAATCTACCTCACAGGGTTGTTGTAGTAGGGAAGATAGAAGCCGTATTATGTACATTGCAGTACTTATAACATAATAGCAGGATAAAAATCTAATAACGCAATCAATAAACATAAATTTAATGGCATGGCATAGAGTGGCAGGATTAGAAGCCCTTCACCAGGTTCCCACCTGGGGGAAGACGGAACAAGAGACTTGATTTCTCATTTTAAAACTCTCCATTGGAGAAAACAGGCTACTTAGACAATGCGATGTTCTCCATTCATACATTTTATGATTGCTGCAATGCAGGAGTGCAGGCATTACATAATCCTCTTTTCGCCATCAAAACATCTCCCAAAGTTGCTATGGAAATTATAAATTTTGGATGGGGCAGATAGGGGGACGTGGTTAAATCCACGGGGAAAAAATCACCAAAGTTTCATTTTATTAATTTCAATTAAATTCATTTTGCTTCTCTCTCTCTCTCTCTCTCTCTCTCTCTCTCTCTCTCTCTCTCTC